TTATGCACATTATTGCCCTTCTACATTATAGACCCTTTAAAGACAGGAACTAATAAATATTTGTTGAATTTTATGAATTTAATGTTTCATTCTACTTGGCACTCTTAGACCTATGGGCAATGTTGTTTGGGAGCTGATGGCAGAGGCAGATTTTCTGAATAAATAAAAGCCAGGTAATAGGGATGGGAGATGGTATTTAAACATATTGTTGGTTTAAAAAATAGAAAAATTAATACCTGAAAGTGCTGTAAACTGGTGACTAACAAATGTAAAATTAATACCAGCTAATGAAACTTATAACCTCCTTCTGCCACCCAGATATTAAAAAATCCATGACTTATTTTTATGCAAAATTTCCTGCTGATAAGTATCAACTCTAGCCATCTAGGTGAATAGTCGAGTATCATTTCTAATAAGTCAGTGGCTCCTGTCAAGAGTTGTGACCAATTAGAAGTCACCCGATGAGGAGGTGGCTGCTGGTGTTGCCAAGCAACAGCCAAGCTGGGAGGCACATTTAGATGCTCTTTTAGATTTAACCAGAGGCAAGTCGGAGTGACATTATGATTCTGGCAAAGGAAAGCCAAATTATAACCCAGGATGGGGTACCCATGATGAGGAGTATGTTTTCTTTTAAATGCAAATGGAAAAGGAACATTCTAACCAGAATTTAAACAGTCCATTATTATACTGATTTTAATTAGGAGATTAGGTGTCAGTGGAATACAACTGTGTCGCAGGATAATGGTCTCTTGCTGCTAGATAAATACCCAGACATTCTGGAAAATGGGCAACTGGTCAGGCAGGGACAATGTATTTTTGGACTCCGAAGTATTTATTACCACAGCCACACTTGCTTATAATGACTTTCATTTTTATTGTTTGGAAGGATTAAGAAATAAAAGCAAATATTAAAAATAGACCGCTGGAGGCCTCATGCAGCTGAGAGAAAGCTGCGTGCTCCAGCATTATTGGAAGACTGGGTTCTGTTTTAGAAGCCCTTGTGCGTGATTGTCGGAAGAGTTTACAAGGAAAATTTAAAGGCCAAACTAAACCGTGCCGGTGACTGTAACTCGGCAAAGACTTTCGCCCTGAAATGTCACAGCTTTGCATTTACTCATAAGCTGACTATATCAACTTAAATTTTTTTAAATTGTAGTCATTCTTGAATAATATGTCTTCGTCAAGGCAGGAAAGGCCTAGAGGGAATAATAACCACATCTGCCTCCGCCTTTAAGAATCATACATTATTGACTGTGCCTTCCTGACAGGAAACATCTGGATGAAAGTGAAAAATTAAGCATCGAGCTGGATTCTCAGTGACTGTGAGAGAGATAGCCTTCCCTGTTGGTCTGACCTTCCTGTAACTGAGTCCCCATGCACAGAGATAGGATTGGCTCATTTGCTCTTGAGTGACACACACCCAGCCTTAGGTTCTCAAGTATGAAGCTGTCAGGTCTGTTAGATCTGCTCAGTGGGTCACCATCAGCTTAGCTATCTGGGTGAATGAGGAAACGTCCATCACTGCTTTTGGGGTTTGAGGACTGAGAAGACACAAGCTGCCATGTTGGGTGGGATCCATGGTCTATCCAATTTGGAACTTGGTCTCTGCTAGAGGCACTTGACAATGGAGTTCCCCACAGAGTCTCCCTCCAAAGACGTAGTGCCCAATGGCCTCATTTCTCTCAACAGCTGACTATGACATTAATTACCCATGTTTTCACCTACTGAAAACTTATTCGAGCCCCAAATAAACAAAGTTAAACAGATTTCTTCACTGCAGTTCTCTCCCAAGGCTTCAATATGCTAAGCTACATAGTGAATCACTAAGAAGATGGTTTGCAATATTTTACCAAATTGTATGACCACGGAACCTTTTCGATCCTCGATGATTTCACATTCTTTTCCTTGGTAGCAATTCATAGACTGAAGTTCATCATCATATAAGTACAGTTTAGATGCTTTTCTCCTAAACGTATTATTTTATTCTTCCTTACACTGAAGGTCAGCTGCCACTTTTATACTGATTTACACAATCTTAGAAGAGTCTTAGAAACTTATTCCAATTGATTTAATATTTTTCAAATCAGAAGAGCTTAGAGGAATATACAAATGTATAGATTTTATGGTGTTCTCCCTCTTTCAGATGAATTAGAAAATTTAAAAATAAAAGTTGTGCTAACCTGGGTCCCCAGGGAATCCCATTATTTATATGCTTCCCTTAGAGAAGAATTAATTTAGCTTCAGTTTTGTTTCCTGAAATTAAATCTATTTACTTTCTGACCCACAATAAAGTTTTACACAACCCCAGGGTTACCGACTAATAGTGTTTGGTAAAGACTCTAGTGAAAGACTCTGTAAAAATCTAAATAAATCTACCAATTGCCTCTTCTAAAAAATCAATCCTTTAGGGAATGGGGTGAAAACTCTGGCAGGTTAATCCGGCAAAATTTTCCCCGATATAAAAGTCAGTTGTTTTCCCAGCAATTGTCAGCCATCTTTTAATATAAACCCCAATAACTTGTCTGTCACCGGACTCAGCTTCTTCCGGAATCAGGGATGCATCAATCAAATTGTCACTCGTTCTCTATCTCTCTGTATTATCCCTGGTAAGACTTAAGACAAAAACCAATTTTATTTGAAATAAAAATGTGGATTCATAATATAATGCTGGTTTTAAAGTAACTTTCAAGCATTATTGACCAAGGCAGCCTAACACCCACACAAACAAAGCCAGTGCCATCCAGAGCTTCTGAATATTAAAGACGCTTACAGACCCAGGTGGTAAAGGACTTGGGCTGCCAAGGTGCTAAAAGAAAAAAGCCTTAGAATTCCAATGGAAAACAAATTTTTATTTCAAGAATAAATTCTGAAGGTTGATAATAGAAGCCCAAAAGCTACTTACAACTTCAAAAAGGACTGGAGGCATTGATATTTCAAAGCTATTTCCAGGAAAACTGACTCAGGCGCCCGCAACCAAGGGGCATGTAGGCTCCTGTCGGTTCTCCGAGCTTCCCCGGCTCTGCCTCCTCCACCCCACGTCACTGTGTGCCTCATTCTCCCCTTTGCGTCTTTGTGACCTGCTTTTTCTATTTCTATATGTATATACTTGTGACTCTCTAAAGAAAAAGCCAACAGTTAGCCGCCTCCTCTTATGTAATGTTTCCTTGTCAAAATCATTTCCCTTTTATGTTTCTTTTATCTTAGTCTTAGCATATATCCTTACGTAGCAGCCTTCCTGGTTCTTTGGTTCTTCATCCATCCATCCATCATCCATCCATTCATTCAGCAAATCATTACTGAGTGCCTAGTGCCGTATAGTTAACAAGAATTTTGTATTTCCTCTGTCTAAAACCTGTTTCCATACCTCAGTTGGTTCCAAACTTAGGCAGAAATTAGAGGAGTGTTACTTCTGACCTCCCTTGGCTTCCTCAGGGACCCCACTTGCCCCACTTCCCTTCTCCCCCAACTCCAGACAGCCCCCGGGACTGTCCTAGGAGCCTCGGAACTGTCCTAGGAGCCTCGGAACAGCGAGTGAAAATCGCGTGGAGGTAAGAGAAGCGAACAGAGAGGTTAGGAGTATTCTGGAGCTGGATTCTAACCTTTACTCTGTTGCTTACTAGCTGTGTGACATGGGACGCGTTACTTAATCTCTCTGTGCCTCGGTTTCCTCATTTGTGAAAGGAGAGCAATAATAATAGTATTCCCCTCACAGGAATGTGGTGAAGATTAAATGTGTTAATACAAATGGGAAGCCCTTGGAGTAGTCCCTGACACAGAGTAGGAGCTGTGGGGTGTCAGTTGGTGCTGTAAACCCAGCTCACCCTCGGCCCTCAAGTACCAAAGGCTACTTGTGGAAACGTGAATCAAAACCTCATGGAAGGATCACTGGTTTCTGAGTGGATGGGATTAATTATGAAGTGTGGGACCTCTCCTCTTCTGGGGGACTTCAGAAGATTTATAGGAGTTAAGCAAGACTGTATGGGGGAGCGTCTTGAGTTTAAGCTAAGTGTAGCTCTCACGTATTGAACTCAAGACAGGCCACTCCGAGCCCAGGCATTCTGGAACAGCTAGACATGGTGGATGGCTCTGGAAGGCACACTGGGAATCTGGGACTCAAACGGAAGCAGTCCCTTAACCACTTCACATCAGGAGGGCTCAAGTGCCCACTCCTGGGTTGTTCGAGAATTCCGAACAGACAGCAAAGCCAGACCAGCAACTGAGGCGTCGCCAGTGAGGATCAAGGTGTGGGAGAGCTCGGCAGGGAGGCAAACAGCAGGTTTTATTTGTACAGCTGGTGGAGAAGGGAGGGTCACTGGGTGGGGGAAGGAGAGCGCCCAGGGCCTTAAAGAGCTTCTTGTGGATGAAGCTCTTTCCTCTGAATCAGCTGCAAAGATTAACCTGGGCTTGCCTGCCCACCTAGAGTTCTGCCAGGAAGATCCCTTTACTCCTCCCCAGTAACCCACAGCCATCTCTTCCCTGTTCCAGGCTTGACTCACAGCTTGCCTTAGTTTCAAGCTGTTCTCTGGTTCCTTGCTATGTAAAAGGTGCTTCACTGTTCAGAAGCATCCTCATCACCTGTGAGATCGTCAGAAATGCAGAATCTCAGGCCCCACCCCAGACCTGCTGAATCGGAATCTGCATTTTAACAAGATCCCCTGGTGATCGTTATACATGAAACGATGAGAGGAGCCCCTCCAGTTTCTCTTGGGTGCCCCCAATGACTCAGGTAGAGTATCAGGACAGAGAGGGAATGCCATAGTGGTTGCTGACTCACAGGTGATTCCTGGCAGCTGGGGATGTAGGAGGCTGGAGAAAGGGAAGACACTCCAACACAGTATCCTATGCTTTTTGCATAACAGAGAGGTTCGAAGCCCTCTACGGGCAAGGCATTTTGATGTGCCACTTGCGTTAGTGACGCAATGTGAACCAGCCCTCCATCACAATTTGGAGAGAAGAAACCTGCTCCTTCAGGAAGACGGTCTGCATTTCTTGTGTCTTACCTCATTCAGCTTTTCAGGACTCAAAGCAGAAGTCAGGACGCTTCTGACCTCTTCCCATCTTTTGTCACGTAAAAACAGGATGCTGTTGGCTACCGGCTGGGACTCCAAACCCGATGCCTGGTGGAAAGTGACAAGCAGAGGGTTAAGACAGAGGAGAGCTACAGCCAGCTTTTTTTTTTTTTAAGATTGGCACCTGGGCTAACAACTGTTGCCAATCTTCCTTTTTTTTTTTAAGGATTGGCACCTGGGCTAACAACTGTTGCCAATCTTTTTTTTTTTTTCTGCTTTATCTCCCCAACCCCACCCTGTACACAGTTGTATATCTTAGTTGCAGGTCCTTCTAGTTGTGGGATGTGGGACCCCACCTCAACGTGTCCTGACGAGTGGTGCCATGTCTGCGCCCAGGATCTGAACCCTGGGCCGCCGCAGCAGAGTGCATGAACTTAACCACTCAGCCACGGAGCCGGCCCCCAAAAGCCAGCTTGATGGCAATATAGGTCCATGACAAACACTCTGATTAAAGTCCACCAATGACCAGCGAATTAGGAGGTTTCTCTCGCAAGGACGCAGAAGAAAAATGTAATGGCTCATGGGTACTGATCTAAAGATTCATGGCTGAGGACCCAGAGGGAGCAGGTGGGTAAGCTCTGCTGGCCCGGTTCTACCCTGTTACAATGTGGTCACCACTGTATAAATAACTCAGCAGCTTCTGTGTGTTCTGCAGCCCCTCTACTGAGTGAGGGTTCCCCGAGGACCCAACAGCAGGCTTCTGGGTGTGGGCTAGGCTTGCCTGGGCTGGAGCTTCACGTCTGAACTTTGTAGCAAGAGGTTTTGTGTGGCTGGACGGGTCAGGTTGGTCCGGGAGCTAACAGACTATATGTCTGGGTCCTTGGTGTGTGTGTGTGGGGGGGGGGTGGCAGAAAAGGGGGAGAGTTGGGGCGGAGGGGTAGGGGGACAAAGGAGAGTCCTTCGGAAGCATATCCCAACAAAGCTTCTTCCAGGAGAACTCCTGTCAGGATCTTTCTGTGTTCTTCCATTCATTTATTCATTCATTTTTCTCATTCAACAAACATTTGCTGAATGTCTAATATATGCTATGTAGTGTTGAATAAAGAAGACATTGCTTTGGGCTGCATGGAGTTGATGGCTGATGGGGAAGCAGACAGTAAGCTCATAAACTAGCAAATAGATATCATTACCGTTCATGAGAAAGTGCATGTGTTATGAAGGAAGAAATAGGGAGAAGTGAGACAATGATAGGGGACTAAATGGTCAGGAAGCATCTCTGAGGAGGAGATATTCAAGCTGAGTCTGGAAGACTGCAAAGGATGAGGTCTCCTCATCTCTTCTTCTCTGGCCATTCTGTTCCTTTCTGAAAGCAGCTACTCCCACCAAGAGGTCAAAACTGGGGCCCCACAGCTGGTGGGAGCACCCCCAGCCCCAGGGCTGCAGGGTGTGGGGAGGCAGGGAGGTTGGAGCACCAAGCACCCTTCAGAACCACCTGTGATGTACGGTTTCGCTATTTCTTTTCACTGCTTTAATTATAGTTGAAACATGAAGCCAGCCATCATAATTCAAAAGCCTTGTAAAAATTCCTATTTAGAGGAAAATTATAATTTTCTGATAAAATATGAACACTCAAAATAAGCTATAAAACATAACTGCAAAGTATCTACGGGGGATTTAATTATATATTATAACCAAGTTGCTGGGATATTTTTCTGCAGAGGAGTACTTCTCTATATATAGAAAGAAATGCTTTAAGAGTGCCATGGTCACTATAGAATTGTAGTTTTATGGAATTTTTGGAACATAACCCATTTGTTTAGGTTCCAGAATCAAAGGAGGAAATCATACATTATGTATATTTTATACTCGCAAACGCCCTGTCTTAATGCCATGCTATGTGTAATAAAGCATTTCACTCCAAGGAAAGCTGGGTGATGGTTTATGGGGTTCTGATGACACAGAATAAATTAGAGGTAGGAGCAAAGATTGGCTGGATTTTGTATCTGTCCTTCAGACCTAACTATTGGATCCCCAATATTTTTTATCTTGCATCTGGAGGATGAATCTAGCCTTCCATGCAATACGTCAGCAGTGCCCTCAGATGTCCCCCTCACCAACCTGCCATGACAGTGCTCTCCCTTCAGCCTCCAACTTCCACTAGAATTCTCCATTTTTTACGGGAAAATTTGAGGGGCATTGGGTAAAATAATGTTTTCCTTTCTAGATGGTTTAAGAGAGAGAGCAGCAAATTGGTCATTTCCGAAGAGCAGTCGGATGGTGAGAGAACATGACATAATATCATAGAAAATAGTTGTCAGATTTCAGAATGTTTGGCTGGGAAGAGAAGACTTGGAAGATCAGATAATGGCACTAGTATGTGCTCAAAAAATATTTATCGAATGCGTTACGTGGAAGAGGGAATTAGGGTGTTTTTGTGACCCTGAGGGGTAGAACTGGGGTCAATAGTGGAAGCTACAGGGAGAAGTCTAGCTCATCGAAAGGAGAACTTTCCAGAGTCAAAAGTAAGAATTGTTCAAAGATAAAATAACCTGCCTTGAGTGATGAGCTCCCCATCGCTGGAGACCATACCCCACTTCTTGGAAATTCTGCACAGGAGACTTGGGCACCCAGGGGGTTTGGTCTAAATGTCCTTCAAGAACTCTTCCAACCCTGGGACTTTGTCTCCAGGAGACTACTCCAGGTATGTTTTTTTTATTAGTTTGTCTACACATATATCTATTTTTAGATTGTGGCAAAATACACATAAAATTTACTATCTTAGCCGTTTTTAAGTGTACACTTCGGTAGTATTAAGTACATTCACATTGTTGTGCAGCCATCACCACTGTCCATCCACAAAACTCTTTTTCTGTCCCCAAATTGAAGCTCTGTGCCTATCGGTTACTCCCTGTTCCCCCTCCCCCAGCCCTGTCCACACATAATAATTGATTAGATTCACTGAGTGATGCCTTGGAAGGTACAGATGACTCTCCTCTGAAGGACAGAGGGACGGGACTGGGAAATTTGATGGGGACCGGACTGTGGGTGTTGGGGCAGGAAGGGAACACTGGTCTCGGGAAGGAAGAGCCAAGGAAACAGGGCTTTACTGGTCAGACTCTGGTCAGCCTAGCCCTGTGTCCCGCGTCTCAGAAAAGGGACCTCCAATCACTCTCGGGCTGGGGGGTTCCAGGCTGCAGGCCATAGCCAGTCATGAAATCAGTGTAATGGGTGGTAATCAGCACTAAAGAAAGAAAAGAAATAGAAACAAGAAATAGAATGGAGTAGAAAATACAGAAGAGTGTTTCACAAAGTTAGAGTAAGTATTTTGTTATTAAATTTTTGTTCAAGATAGCGGGGTGTGTGTTAGAAAGAGTGTGTGTATGTGAGTGTGTATGTGTGAGTGGATGAGAGGGTGTGTGAGAGTGAGATCACGTGTGTGTGTGTGTGTGCATGAGAGAGGATGTGTGTGAGAGCATATGTGTGTCTTCTGTGTCATGATGTGAAATGTTTCTTACTATAGGCTACAGTCAAAAAAGTTTGAAAAACCTATTCTAACGCACACCCCAAACCTAGGAGTCATCCTCTCACTCAACTAAAATCCTGTCCGTCACAGTGTTAGCAAGCTGTGAACATTTATTGAGCAGCCACTGTGTGTCAGGCACAATGCTGGCACTGAAACTATCAAGACAAAGAATGGAATTCTTGCCCTTAAGGAGCTCACAGATGACTTGGAGGGCGGGAATGGGGTGGTTTACAACCAACATTTGTTGATCTTACGACTAACAAAGTGCCTTTCACATTAGTCCGTTAATTTTTTGATAACTCTTCAGTAAGTAGGAAGCACTGTCCGGATAAGCAGTGATGGTTCAGGAGCAATCTCGTGGCTCCCCTGCTAAGCTTCCCTTGGACAGTTGAACATGTCTGTCTTTTCAATTAAGATCGCTTAAAATAGAATCTAACTTCTTATTAGACTAGCTAAGCATAAACTTTAAACTTTGAAGAATTATACAATCCTGAGGAGCAAGTTATTAAAGAAAACCAATACCTCGGCATTCTGTGCTCACATGAAGACAGCAACCATTTACTAGGTGTTTATCACAGGCAAAACCAGTGATTCTCTGCTGACCTGGTGGAGCCACATAGAACCACTGACTCTTCCCAGGGTGCTGCAAAAGGCATGCAGAGCATTTTTGTGATAACTGAGTATGCATGTTGTTATGAAAAAGGCATAAGAGGCATAAAAGAATATGAAGCCGTGGCCAAGAAAAGTTTTCTTGTGTCCTGGAACATGCGAGAGTGTTGACTCAAGAGCTGTCTGATCTCTATGATGCCTTGGCAGGGCAGTTAAGTTCTCCTCAAACAGCCACACAGAACTGCAGGTAAGAGGTCTACAGAGAGAGGTGCTTTTAAAAACTCTGAGAGACGCTGTTATAAATCGGTGGTCATGATGTGAGGATTGCTGAGTATGTCAAGTAGGCTGCAAAAATATTAATATCAGAAAGTATGCAGTGATCACAAAGAGGCCAAGTCCGCTGTTGCAAGCTTGCTTTCTGATTCTCACTCAACCTTGCACACAGGAGGAAGCTCCAGGCACCACCTGTCTCCCTCCTCACCTGGGTGTGTGAAATGTCCGGCACTGCCCCTCGTTGTATTATAATCAATGAAAACTCTAGAATTCTATCACTTGGATAACCCCAAATTCTATACTTGAGGACATATGCTATTTTCAGCATATAACTATTGCTCTCTGGTTGTACAAAGATTTCAACCAAGCAGGGCTTATATTTTGGTGTTTTGAAAGAGTAAAATTGTTCTGTCCCCACTGGACAATTTCCACCCATTCACCTTTGCGCTTAGAAGATGATCATAAAAATCATACAATCTTCCCTTCCCCTCCCAAGTAAGGTGGTGTGGCATGTCCGTAGCTCAAGGAGCTGGCTCAGGGGGCCCATAGGGGCTAAACCCAGCTCAGGCTCCGTCTGCCAACTCAGCATCAGCTGGTGGAAGGGGGGCCTCTTCTGATTTGGTCAGAGGCGTGCAATGTGCTCTGGCAGCTCTGCCTGAGAGAGTGCCCAGCAGCTTACCCACCAAGGAGGAAGGAAGCACAG